CTCTCTCTCTCTCTCTCTCTCTCTCTCTCTCTCTCTCTCTCTCTCGTTTTGGTCTGTAATCCCCTTTCTCATTTCCTTGCAGAATGTAATGCTGCAATCCACAAGAAATGTATTGATAAAATCATTGGTCGTTGTACAGGCACTGCCACCAACAGCAGGGACACCGTGGTAAGTTCAGCAGAACTCTTAAGTCCTGCACCAAACTGCCTTCCTCTTACCCTCCTGCCAGACTCCCTTGCCCTTTCGTTGGCTGTTCTCTTGTCGCCACAGCCCCATTTACTATCCATTCCTAAATGTCCACAAGAGCAATTTGATACCAGCCAGACAGGGGTGGGTGGGGGGTGGGGGGGAATGGGGAATCTGGAGTCCCACCTCTTACTCACCAGGTAAAAAGGGCAGATCCCCTTCCTGAGGCTTTTCATGAACTAGAGGTTTACACAAGAATTTACCAGTGCAATGATCACCAGAAAGCAGCTCCTATGTAGATATACAGTATCCTCCTAGTACTTCATAATGTCTGTGTCTGTGCTACTGGAGGTGGGTGCTGTCACTCTAACACTTTGTTCTGTAGTTCCAGAAGGAGCGTTTCAATATCGATGTTCCACACAGGTTTAAAGTGAATAACTACATGAGCCCGACATTCTGTGATCACTGTGGGAGCTTGTTGTGGGGGCTGGTCAAACAAGGACTCAAATGTGAAGGTGCGTCTCTCACTTGTCCCCAGAGCTCAGCTGATATCATCTGTGGGTGTCCTGCACTGATTCACTCTTAAAAACTGCTGTTTCTCTTCCTGCTGCAGAATGTTTGATGAATGTGCACCACAAATGTCAATCCAAAGTTGCCAATCTTTGTGGGATCAACCAGAAACTGATGGCTGAGGCACTGAACCAGATTAGTCTGGTAAGTAAAACCCAGCGCTGGGGATCTGGGTGTCTGGCTTTGGTGAACTGTGGATTTTTTTTAAAAAAAAAATAACTATTTAAACAAAGTTTGGATTTTCTATCCATACCAATTACAGCAACAGAAATTACAGAATGAACAGTCATAGAACGAGCTGTGGGGGAGATGCAGGGGTGTGTTGGACTGTTTCAGCTGTTTGGATGTTTAGCTGGAATGAGACTTCCGTGTCTTCGTCCAACTTGCCTGTGACAACTCTTTTTGCAAAGAGTTATTGAAATTTATCCCATTTCTCTTGCTTTTCCTACAGGCCTTCAAATTTGAAATCTCATATTAAACCTGTTTTTTCCAACCTTCTGAACAGCGTGTCCCAGACCATAATTTGCTGCATAATTATAGAATCATAAAATGGTGATCATGCTGGCTGAGGCCATTCAGCCCATTATCCGTTCTGGTTCTCTGAAGGAGTGATTGGCCTAGTATCATTCCACACTGCCTTCTCCATGTAACTCTGGGAGTGGCAGAAAATGCTGACCCAGACTGTGATGCCGATGTCCTGTGAACAAATATAATAAAAATGTACTTCATTAACCAGCTCTCAATGCTATTTTAAAACCTCGTGCACATATCCACCCACATTCCTCTGCTCTCCCTCTTAGAATTGTCTCCTGTATCTTGTGTTGTCCTTCCAGGTTCCCTGCTAACCAAAATGTATCATTTCACCGTTCTCTGCGTTAAATTTAATCTGCCATGTCTCTGTCCATTCCACAGACTTGTTGTGTTTTGGAAATTCTACACTATCCTCATCGTGGTCCACAGCGATTCCAAATGTTGCACCATCTATACGTTTTGACCCTGTTCACCAAGGACTAGGTCATATATATTAAGAAAAGGCAAGGGTCCCTAAGAAACTGCCCTACAAACCACCTCCTGCCTGATCACTGATCATGACTTTGTTTCCTCTCACTCAGCAACTTTCATAACTTTGCTCACAACTCTGGTGTGCAGCACTTTATCCGATGTCTTTTGGAATTAGCTATACTGTCCTGAACTGCAATACCATCATCAACATAAAATCATAAAATGTTTTTTTGTTTTTTAAAAAAATCCCAAAAATAGTTCTGGGAAATTCATTAATTACAATTTGCACTAAGAAATCCATGCAGGATTTTCTTAATTAATCTTAATTAATAATTAGAGGTGGCTATTACAAGGGGGCACAGTTTTAAAGTGAGTGGAGGTAGATATAGGGGAGACATCAGAGGTAGGCTCTTTACTCAGAGAGTGGTAGGGGCGTGGAATGCATTGCCGGAGAGGGTAGTGGAGTCGGCCTCATTAGGGGCATTTAAGTGGCTATTAGATAGGCATATGGATGATAGTATAAGGTAGGGGTGGAGATTAGATAGACCTTAGGTTTGGGGTAAAAGTTCGGCACAACATCGTGGGCTGAAGGGCCTGTACTGTGCTGTACTGTTCAATGTTCTAATCTGCACCTGCCCTCACAGCTATAAATTTTTGTCCCAAATTCCTTTTTCTAGAAACCTTCTGTGGTTAACCACTGAGGTTAAACTGGCCTGTCATTACTGGATTTAACCTTAGTGTGTCTAATTAAAGATGTAATATTGAAAATGCTCCAGTCCTCTGACAACATTGCTGAGTCTCAACAATTTTGGAAAGTTACAGTCAGTGCCTCTGCATTTTTTTGCACTCACCTTCCAGACAAAATTCTCCTCCTCTTGCCACCACTATTTAAAAATCAGCTCTTGCTCATCTAGCACATGGATGAGGCAATCTTTTTTTTTGTCTGAGGGTTGAGTGTTGTTGGAATAGTGTTCCTGAATTGGTGTTGGATGCAGACTCTTTTGAACATTTTTAAGACAGAGATGAATATATTCTTAATAAAAATCAAAAGAACTGCAGATGCTGTAAATCAGAAACAAAAACAGAGTTCAGTTCTGAGGAAGTATCACCGGACCTGAAACATTAACTCTGATTTTTTCTTCACGGATGCTGCCAGACCTGCTGAGCTTTTCCAGCAACTTCTGTGAATATATTCTTAAGCAAGGGATAGGCAGGTTTGTGGATTTGATGTCACACTCTGATTTCCCCTGATCTTATTAAATAGCAGGACAGAATCAAGGGGCTGAATGGCCTCATTCTGGTTTTTTTTTGTCCTTCTAACCTTTTCTGGTTTTCTACCAGATGTTTCTAAATCCATATTCCTCTGGGCTTACCAACTCCTGCTACTGAAAACACTTTATTGAATTGATTAAAACTCCATGTTAAACATTCCATTCACTTTCACTGGAGGACAATATCAGCTTCTCCAGTAGTTTCACATGTTTAGTTGAGAGTAATACTGTTCAATGTTTAAAATAGTTTTTATTCTTTCAGAAATCATCTACTCGGAGGTCTGATAGCAGTCTGCCTGACAATTCAAACATTGGAATTTATCAGCCTTTCAACAACACCGGTGGTCCTGGAACCCCACACATGGACAGCACAGGTAACTACATGGACACTTCCTAAGCGAAATTCGAGAGTGAGTCTGGAGCTGGTGCTGTGACTTTGGAATACTCATTGGTACAGCTGAAAAATGTGAACCATGACTGAATCCTGCTGGAGTTAAGGGGAATTGCAGCAGCAATGAGTTCTCTAGGCTGTTGCTGATTAGCCAGGATGGCACATATTTTCCAAGGTTTTCTACAGGGTGGATTGTGTTTGTGTGTATTCAAGGATGAAGTTAGTCAAATAAACAGTTTGACAACCCAGTGGCAGTAGTAGGAGATCACGTTGGAAGTTGACTCAGTGTACATGCGTCCAGGAAGTATTGTGATGGAGGGGTAGGAGCAGGATGATTAATCCATGAGGAACTCCAGTTACCAGCAAGAGATTTGGAAGAGGATTGTGTGGTCAGGAGCTTTTGTTTATTTATTCATTTGTGGGATCTTGGCATCAGTGTTTAGACTGGCATTTATTGTCTATCTCTAGTTACACTCTAGAGGGTATTAGGGAGGGAATTCCAGGATTTTCACCCAGGGACACTGAAAGACTGACAGTATATTTCCTAAAGAAGATGGTGAGTGGCTTGGAGGGGAACTTTTGAGGAGGTGGTTTTGCCATGTATCTTCTGACCTTTTCCTTCAGAAGTGGTCATGGGTTTGGAAGATCCTGTCCAAGGATCATAGAATCTCTCCAGTGTGGAAGCGAGCTATTGGCCCGACAAGTCCACACCGACTCTCGGATGAGCATCCCATCCAGACTCACCCACCTACTGTAGCCCTGTAACCCTGCATTTCCCATGGCTAATCCAGCTAACCTAGGTATCCCGAGACACTAAAGGCAATTAACATGGCCAATCCACCTAATCTGCACATCTTTGGACTGTGGGAGGAAACTGGAGTACCAGGAGGAAACCCATGCAGACATGGGGAGAACATGCAAACTCCACACAGACGGTCACCAGAGGCTGGAATTGAACCCGGGTCCCTGACACTGTGAGGCAGCAGTGCTAACCACTGAGCCACTGTACCATCCCTTTTTGTTTTTGATGGCCCCTCTCTTTTTCAGACCCCCCCCCCCCCCACCTCCACTGCCAAACTAGTTTAAACCCTCCCAGTTAACACCAGCAAGTCTCCACACAAGTATATTGGACCACCTCCGGTTCAAGTACAACCTGTCCCTCTTATACAGATCACCCCTACCCCAGAAGAGATCGCAGTGATCCAAGAACTCTGGTGAATTTCTGCAGTGCATCTTGTGGATGATGCACACTGCTGCTACTGAGCATCGGTGAAGGAGGGAGTGGATGTAGCACCAGTCAAGCAGGCTGCTTTATCCTGGATGGTGTCAAGCTCCTTGAGTGTTGTTGGGGCTGCACCCATCCAGGCAAGTGGGGAGTATTCCATCACAATCTGGACTTGTCCATCATCTACAAGATACAAGATACAAGATTTGGGGAGTGAGGAGGTGAATTACTTGCTGTAGGATTCCTAACCTCTGACCTAGTGTTGCTTTTTTATGGCTGGTCCAATTAAGTTTCTGATCAATGGTATCTCATAGGATGTTGATAATGGGGAATTCCAAGGAACTGCCATTGAATATCAAAGGAAGATGAATAGATTCTCTTGAACTAGAGATGGTGATACCTTGACACTTGCGTGGCATGGGTGTTATTCATCACTTATCAGCCCAAACCTGGATATTGTCTAGATCTTGTTGCATTTGAACATGGGCAGTATCTGAGGAGTCACGAATGGTGCTGAACATTGTGCAATCATCAGAAAACATCTCCATTTATGACCTTATGATGGAGGGAAGGTCATTGATGAAGCAGCTGAAGATGGTGGGGCCTAGGACACCACCCTGAAGAACTCCTGCAGAGATGTCCTGGAGCTGAGATGATTGACCTCCACCAACCATGACCATCCTCCTATGTCTCAGGTATGACTCCAACCACCAGAGAGTTTGCCCCCGATTCCCATTGACTGCAGTTTTGGCTGGGGCTCCCTAATATCACACTCGGTCAAACATTGTGTCATGGTTGAGGGAAGTCACTCTTCCTCCCTTTCTGAGCTCAGCTCTTCTGTCCATACTTGTCTGAAGGCTGTAATGAGATCAGGAGTAGAGCGCCCTGGTGGAATTTCAGCTGAGTGAGAGTGAGCAATTGTTGCTTTGTAAGTGCTGCTTGTTACACGATTGTCGGCCATTCTGCTCAGGATGGTGATGCCCCAAAGTAGGCTGAGGGGTGGTAATTGGCCGTTTTTGTTTGGTTTTAAACTGATGCATGGGATGTAGGTGTCACTGTGGAGGTCAGCATTTGTTGCATGTCCCTAATTTCTCTTGAAATTGAGTGACTTTCTTGGCCTTGCAGAGGGCTATCAAGAGTCAACAATATCCTGAGGCCTGGAGTCACATGCAGGCCAGACCAGGTAAGGACATCAGATTTCCTTCCCTGATGTTTTAACGGTGGGATCCCTCGTTTTGTTATATTGATTTGTATTATATTGGATTCCAGTTTCATCTGGTTGCTGTGCTGGGATGTGTCTCCATGTTCCCGGAGCTCCAGCCTGAGTCAGATGGTGGTGCAAAGATGGTGGTGTAATAGCAACAACCTGCCCTGCTTTTTATGCAGGAATGTAGCTGGGTACTTATCCATGTTGTCAGGTAGATACCAGTGTTATAGCTACACCAGGCAGAGCTTAGTCAGGGCTTTGGAGAAACTGGGATAGTGACCCAGTCAACAGCCGCTTGGATGTGATTAGCTAATTTACAAACGTGGAACCTGCCAGCACAGGAATGATGGGCTGAATGTCCCCCTTCTGCATTTAACAATTTTGTGATTGTGACAGAGACTGCATATCAGAGAGATGGCAGTTGGAGAGGATTGTTTTAAGACGGGGTGACTTGCATAAAAATCGCAGAAACAAGTTGTTGTCTGCCGAGTCTTACTGTTTGTCTTCCTGATGAAAGCAGGGTGTGACGTGATGTCGAATATGTAAAAATTGTTATTTCATGTGATCTAATGTCCCTAGCATGATCAGCATCTGGTCATTGAGTCACAGAGCATTGAAACAGGCCCTTTGGACCACCATTTCTACACCGACCAACAAATACGAAACTGCTCTAATCCCATTTACCTGCGCTTGTTGCATAGACTACTATGCTCTGGCATTTTAAATGCTCCTGAATTGTTGTGAGAGTACCTGCGTCCGTGACCCTCTCAGGCAGCACATTCCATATTTCTACCACTCTCTGGGTGAAAATATTCTTTCTCCAGTTTCCTCTAAACCATTTGCTCCACATTGTAAACATATTCCCTCTGGTCTTAGACATGTCCGCTATGGGGAAAAGATTCACACAATCCGTGCCTCATAATTTTGGGGTCTGTCCCTAACTGAACAGAATGGTTTGTGAAGTCATTACAGAAAGCTGTAGGTCTGAATCAATGAAGTCCATCTCACTGACTCTGCAGAAATAATGGTTAAAGAGTTGCTCCCTGAGCTGTACCTGCCAGGCTTAGTAACATGTTCAAAGCCACCCCATTCAGAGGGGAGCGGTGGTGGGGCTGGGGCATTTCTGCTCAAGATCTCATCCTGTCCTATGCCACTGCCTTTGACAGTAACTGTTAAAGGAGTCTAATGACCAAACCCTCCGGTCCTTGTCCTGTTCAAATGTCCGTTCCTGATGAGTAGTAGCAGGGTACATGGAGAAGCCAGGAGAATGTCACCGCTCATGTGGGGAGTTAGTGCCAACATGAGGGTGGCTTCCTGTGCTGTTAGAATCCTGTGATTCAGGAGGCCTAAGACACCGACGTGCATAGAGTCATAGAGTAATACAGAATGGAAACAGGCCAAACTGGTCCATGCTGATCGTGGTGCCCACGCAGCTAGTTCCAATTGCCCACATTTGATCCCTATTTTTCTAAATCCTTCCCATCCACGTACCTATCCAAATGTTTTTTATACGTTGCTATTGTACCTGCCTCAACCACTTTCTCCGGCAGTCTATTCCATATACGCACCACTCTCTGCGTGAAGAAGTTGCCCCTCAGGTCCTTCTTAAATCTTTTCCCTCTCACCTTAAACCTATGCCCTTTAGTTTTCAATTCCCCATCCCTGGGAAAAAGACGATATGCATTCATCCTATCTATGCCCCTCAGGATTTTATACACCTCAATAAGGTCACCCTTCAATCTCCTAAATTACAAGGAATAAAGTCCTATTCTATCCAACCTCTCTATAACTCAGGCCTGCTAGTCCTGGCAACATCCTCCTAAATATTTGTACAATTTCCAGTTTAACTATGTCTTTCCTATAACAGGGTGACCAAAACTGTACACAATTCTCCAAGTGCAGCTTCACCAAAGACTTATACAACTGTAACATAACGTACCAAATCCTACACTCAGTACCTTGACCGATGAAGGCCAGCATGCTAAATGCCTTCTTCACCACCCTGTCTACCTGTGACACTGCTTTCAACGAACTATGTACTTGTACTCCCAGGTCCCGCTGTTCTACAACACTCCTCAGGACCTTACCATTTGCTGTATAAGTCCTACCTTGGTTTGACTTTCCAAAAATGCAACACCTCACACTTATCAGTATTGAATTGCATTTGCCAATCCTCAGCCCATTTCCCCATCTGATCAAGATCCCTCTGTAATTCTGATAACCTTTCTCGGTATCAACGATACCTCCTAATTTTGTATCACCCGCAAATTTACTAATCATGCCTTGTACATTCACATCCAGGTTATTGATCTCACTCGATTGCTTATGTTCGTCATGTAAACCATGAAATGCCCAGTTTGTCATATTCTGCCTGACCCAGTGCTCTCTGCCTGACCCTTTTCCTGTTTACAGACAGTCACCAATATGGCAGGTTGTGGGAAGATGGTTCACCGAAACCACCACAGCGAGGACCCAGTCTCCGTCCCAATTCCATGAGGAAACTGACAATCGAGAACTTCACTCTCCATAAAGTGCTAGGAAAAGGAAGCTTCGGGAAAGTGAGTGTGGCTCCAGGAGCTTGAATTCCGGTTTATATCTGTCTTTGAGAGAAGACTGCTACTTCCCCCATTACGGGGAATCTTTCTCCTTATTCTCTGCTTGCTACCTTTGGAATGGGGTTCGTTTTAAGTTTGAACTCCTCTGTTATCTCCCTGGGGAAATCAGTGATGACACTGTAAAAAGTCTCTGGAACACTCCCCTGATGCCCAGCTGTACCTCAGGAGCAGAGACAGGGCTAACTGAGCATTGGTTCATGATGAGCCTGAATTGTCCAGTTTGTTGGTCTCAGTGCTACAGCATGTAGTTGCAAGGAGTCCGCCATCACCTGCCCCCTCACAGGAGGCTGTTCCTCCTGGCTGATCCCATCAAATTGCCCACTTCAAGTTCTTCAACATTTTTGTTCGTGGGACATGGGCATCACTGGCTGGGCCCAGCATTTACTACCTGTCCCTAGTTGCCCCTTGAGAAGGTGGTGGTGAGCTGCCTTCTTGAACCGCTGCAGTCCACGTGCTGTGGGTTGACCCACAATGCCCTTAGGGAGGGAATTGCAGGATTCTGACCCAGTGACAGTGAAGGAACGGATATATTTCCCAAGTCAGGATGATGAGTGGCTTGGAGGGGAACTTGCAGGGGGTGGTGTTCCTATGTATCTGCTGCCCTTGTCCTTCTAGATGGAAGTGGTCGTGGGTTTTCTCTGAACATTTGAATGGTTTGAATTGGAAATTTTTAAAAATTGTTTACTTCAAAAATGCCATCAGAGGTAAAACCTCAAACAAATATAGATCAAAATTGAAATATCAACCCATACCAAAGTGCAAAGAAAACTGATGATAGATATGTTTAATCATTCCAGAGTTTACCGCAGGTTAATATGTCTTTAGTGATTGACCAGGTGCTTGTTTTGGTAACAGGTGTTACTTGCGGAGTTGAAAGGAAAGGGTGAGTTCTTCGCTGTGAAAGCATTGAAGAAGGATGTGGTTCTAATGGATGACGATGTGGAATGCACGATGGTGGAGAAACGGGTTCTGGCTCTGGCCTGGGACAATCCATTCCTCACCCACCTGTACTCGACCTTTCAGACCAAGGTAACAAATAATCACAAACCAAGAGAAGTCCTTCATCAGAATCTCGCTATCAGGCTCACTGTGGAGAAGAAGTCGAAAGATTGTCACTGCATCACAAGAATATTAAAGGGAAAAGATTTGAGAAAGGAGTTTGTGGAACTGAATGGCTCCCTCCTGGGGTGATGGTCAATAATTGTACAGTAAACTGGGTAACCTGGACAAAACCATAGAGTCTGAGCATGGAAATAGACCCTTCAGCTCAACTTGTTCATGCTGACCAGATTTCTTAAACTAAACTAGTCCCATTTGCCTGCATTTGGCTTACATCCCTCTAAACCTTTCCTATCCATGCACCTGTCCAAATGTCTTTAAATGTTATAATTATACTTGTCTCAACCACTTCCACTTCCTCTGGCAGCTCATTCCATATACACACCACCCTCCCTGTGAAAATGTTGCCCCTCTGGCCACTTTTAAATCTTTCCCCTCTGGTTTTGGAGTTCCTTACCCTGGAGAAAAGATCTTTGCTATTCACCCTATCCATGCCCCTCGTGATTTTATAAACCTCCTATAAGGTCACCCTTCAGCCTCCTACACTCCAGGGAATAAAATCCTGGCCTATTCTTATAACTCAAACCCACTACTCTTGGTAATACGCTTGTAAATATTTTTTGCACCTTTTCCAGTTTAATAACCACCTTCCAAAGCAGGGTGACCAGAATTGTACACGGGTACTCTAATGCCTTAACAACACACAGTACGCCTTAACAATGTCTTGTACAGCTGTAACATGATGTCCCAACTGCTTTGTCTGAGCAATGAGGGCAAGAGTGTCAAATGTCTTCTTCACCATCCTTGTCTACCTGTAATGCCCCTTCCAAGGAACTATGTACCAGCACCTCCTAGATCTCTCTGTTTGACAACAGCCCCCAGAGCCCTACCACTACCTGTGTAAGTCCTGCCATGGATTTTCTTACCAAGGTGTAACACCTCACATTTATCTAAACTAAATTCCATCCGCCACTCCTCGGCTCATTGGCCCAGTTGATCAAGATCTCTTTGTAATCTTAGATAACCTTCTCCTCTGTCTACCATGCCACCAATTTTGGTGTCATCTGCAAACTTACTAACCAGGTTTCCCATATTCTCATCCATATCGTTTATATAAATGACAAACAACAGTGAACCCAGTACCGTTCCTTGCAGCACACAGCTGGCAAACCACTTGAAGTGATTTATAGCCAATGAGCAAATCTAAATCATTGTCCACATTTGAGCAGGCCAGTTGAGCTGTGGCCTTTTTGACTAGTTTTAGAACCACCCTCAATCCCCATTTCTGAAATTGATAGGGTTCTGGGTGGATAACCAGGCAAGCTCTGATTGGCTGAATGGCTTCTGGCTCTGGAATTGATGCTGGTGTTAGTGGGCGCCTCAAGTGGCATTGGAGACTGAGTCAGGATTTGGGACTATTGGACAGATTATATTCTGGTAGTTGGGTTGATGATAGAATGTAGACAGAGATGGTTGAATTGCACCCGGTAAATTTAAAACCTAAAAGTCAATGTTTTGTTTTCATGGACAGGAGCATCTGTTCTTTGTCATGGAATATTTGAATGGGGGTGACCTGATGTTCCATATTCAGGAAAAAGGACGTTTCGATCTGTACCGAGCGATGTAAGTTAATCCCCCACCTACTCTCCCATCCCACCACCACCACCAGCAACAAGAGGTTTCCGAGTACTGAGCTAAGCTGAACCACCCCATCCTCCTCTCCTCATCCCTAACCTGTTCTGTTTATGTATTGAAGTATTGGGCCAAAATGACATTTTTAAGAAGGCACGTGAATTGATTTAGAGAACAGGAGAACCTACCTGGTGAGATAATGACTGGAGTGTTTATGATCCAGAGAGAGACAGATGGAGAGGCCGGAAGCAGGTTCCATTCAGAAGGTGCAATACCAGCAGATGCGCTGCTAGCAGTTTCAAAATAACTAACTTTTCCTTTTGAGTTTAGTAAGAAAAGTCAGAGAGGTAACCGGTTTCTTGGAAGACATGCCAAATAAGAAATTCAGAAGCGCAGATAAGAATGATACCTCACTGGGATTCAGTGTCTGTTAAGGTTATTGCTGAGAAAAAGAGTTGGAAATTCTTGTTCACACCAAAAATGGAAATTGCTGGAAAAACTCAGCACCTTCAGCAGAGAAGTGGAGGAGCGGATTGGGAGGCAGATACTGGAAAGGTGCAGAAGTCACAGGGTTGTAGTCATGGGTGACTTCAACTTTCCAAATATTGATTGGAAACTTTTTAGTTGTAATAGTTTAGATGGAGCGGATTTTGTAGTGCATTCAGGAAGGATTCCTGACACAGTATGTAGATAGACCAACACGAGGAGAGGCCACTTTGGATTTGGTGCTTGGCATTGAACCAGGCCAAGTGTTAGATCTGTTGGTAGGAGTACGTTTTGGCGGTAGCGATCATAACTCTGTTATTTTTACAATAATCATGGAAAAGGATAGGTACATACAGCAGGGTAAGGTTTATAATTGGGGGAAGGGTAATTATAATTCAGTTAGGCAAGAACTGAGTAACGTAAAATGGAAACAGATGCTGTCAGGGAAGAGCACTATTGAAATGTGGAGATGGTTTAAGGAACGCATACTGCGTGTGCTCAATATGTTTGTCCCTAGCAGGCAGGGAAGATGCGGTCGAGTGAGGGAGCTTTGGTTCTCAAGAGAGCTCGAACGACTGGTTAAGAGGAAGAAGGATGCTTAAGTAAGGTTTAGGAAACGAGGAACGGAAAAGGCTCTAGAGGGATACAAGTTATCCAGGAAGGAGCTGAAGAAAGAGTTTAGGAGAGCTATAAGGGGGCATGAGAAAACCTTGGCAGATAGGATCAAGGAAAACTCCAAGGCTTTTTACACGTACGTGAGAAATAAGAGAATGATCAGAGAAAAGGTAGGGCTGATCAAGGATTGTAAAGAGAATTTGTGCACGGAGCCTAAAGAGATAGGAGAGGTCCTTAATGAATACTTTTCTTCAGTATTCACAACTGAGAGGGACCTAGTTGTAGAGGAGGACAGTGTGAAACAGGCTGAGGAGGTCGATGTTAGTAAGGAAAATATGCTAGGAATTCTGAGGAACTTGAAGATAGATAAGTCCCCGGGCCTGATGGAATTTATCCAAGGATTCTGTGGGAAGCGAGGGAAGAGATCATAGGGTGTTTGGCGATGATCTTTTTGGCCTCACTGTCCACGGGTATAGTGCCAGAAGATTGGAGAGAGGCAAACATCATTTCCTTGTTCAAAAAAGGGAATAGGGATAACCCCGGAAATTACAGGCCAGTTAGTCTTACGTCAGTGGTGGGCAAATTATTGG